CAATAACTGGAAAAAATTATCAATTAAAATGTTTAATTATCAATTCATTTACTATTTTAGTGATTATTAATATTTTTAATTGGGTTTTATTTTTAGCTATTTTGTTACTACTTTAGATTACAGTAAAGTAGTAACAAAATTGATAAAAATATCAACATTCAAAATATGAATAAACATTCAAATAGTACATTTATTAAATAAATGTATTATTATATAAATGTATTACTACTACTATTTGAGTATTTTTTTATACTTTTAATTCTTTTTTATATTTTTTATGATCATTTTCATTTTATTTTTAGCAATTTTGTTACTACTTTACAATAAATCTAACTATGAAAATCCTTCCAAATCATTTATTAATCATATTGTTAATTTCGTAATGTACTAATACATTATTAACGTTGTATCTGTTAATATTATTTAATGAAGCTAACATGAACTAACATTGAACTGTTGTATTTTATTAACTAAGGTTTACAAAGATTAATCAATTCTGTAAGAAATGTAATGCTCATTGGAAGGTAATGTTGTTGGTTAAAGGGTTAGTTCACCCAAAAATGAAAATTCTGTCATTAATTACTCGCCCTCATGCCGTTCCAAACCCGTAAGACCTTCGTTCATCTTCAGAACACAAATTAAGATATTTCTGATGCATTCCGAGAGCTCTCTGACCCTCTGACCGCAAGGATCCTTACAGGATCAAGTCCAGAAATGTAGCAAGGATTTGTCCTTGCTACATTTCTGGACCTGGGAACATTACCGTTGTGTTGCTGTCTATGGGAGGGTCTCTCAAGAGAGCTCTTGGATTTCATCAAAAATATCTTAATTTGTGTTCCGAAGATGAACGAAGGTGTTACGGGTTTGGAACGACATGAGGGTGAGTAATTAATTTTTGGGTGAACTATCCCTTTAACTCTGCTATTCTTTGAAATCATTAACACTTTTTAAAAAACTATCATAATAGTTACTGTACTTGAAGTAAACAGGTCTTTACAATAAAAAATGACAACAACAAAAAAACCTTAAGGTTTGTTCACACCAAGAGCTATAACTATAAATATAATTATAAGAATAGCTATATTAGCCTCCACACTAAGGCACAATAATGTTCTGTTTATTATAAATGCACGGTAGACTTGCATTTACAATACTGCACCATCCAAAACCACCCTAGCAACCACTTAGTAACACTCTAGCAATCTGCAACATGCTAACAAACACTCATAACACCATAGCAACACCTTAGCACCCACTCAGAACAACAGCCACGGCACATTTTGCTTGGGGAAGCACCACTCTTAGCAACTTCACAAAATGTTCCCTTAGTTCTTCCATTTAAATAAGACAAACCCGTTACTATTTCCTTCATCTGGTGATGAGTAGATAACACACTGAGCATTTAAACAGAGCTGAGCACAGTGTTATTGCTCGTATATTGCCGCTATGAGACATGTTTGTGGTTTTAACATGAAAAAAAAAAATCTGATGAAAAATCTATATTGGTCTGAATACAGGAATGCAGGCTTTCAAAACTTTATCTGATCTGTGTGATTAATTTAAAGGTTTCTTGAGGCATTTTTTTCACGATGACTCATATATAGCACCATCTTGTGGCCTCATTTAATATAAAAAAAAACCCACTGTGTAAAAATAAATAAATGATTAAAAATTAAATAAAAAAATATTTCCACAATATTTTACATTTTTAATATTAACTTTTCAGAGTATAAATTGGGTCTTTATACATGAAAATATATAGCTGTGTCTGATTATAAGTACATTTTTGTTTAATTTTACCACTCTTAGCAACTTCACAAAATGTTCCCTTAGTTCTTCCATTTAAATAAGACAAACCCGTTACTATTTCCTTCATCTGGTGATGAGTAGATAACACACTGAGCATTTAAACAGAGCTGAGCACAGTGTTATTGCTCGTATATTGCCGCTATGAGACATGTTTGTGGTTTTAACATGAAAAAAAATTCTGATGAAAATCTGAATACAGGAATGCAGGCTTTCAAAACTTTATCTGATCTGTGTGATTAATTTAAAGGTTTCTTGAGGCATTTTTTTCACGATGACTCATATATAGCACCATCTTGTGGCCTCATTTAATATAAAAAAAAACCACTGTGTAAAAATAAATAAATGATTAAAAATTAAATTAAAAAATAAATAAAAAATAAATACAATTAAAATAAATAAATGATAAAAAATATATTACAATAAATAAACAATTGAAAAATATTTCCACAATATTTTACATTTTTAATATTAACTTTTCAGAGTATAAATTGGGTCTTTATACATGAAAATATATAGCTGTGTCTGATTATAAGTACATTTTTGTTTAATTTTAAATAATTCTGTACTTTGTTGAGTCACCTACCAGGTAAGACCATGTAAATTTGCTCTTAAAGGTATAGTTCACCTAAAAATATAAATTCTGTCAAGATTTACTCGCCTTCATGTCTTTCCAAACATTTATGACCTTCTATCTTCTGTGGAACACAAAATATATTTAAGAACATTCAGACAACATTGGACCCCATTGAGTTTCCTAGTATAGACTAAAACAGACATTTTTAAATCTTTGTGTTTTACAGAAACAAATCAAGAAGAAGAAATCAAACAAGTTTAAGTGTTAAAGGGGTCATAGGATGCCCATTTTCCACAAGTTGATATGATTCTTTAGGGTCATAATGAAAAGTCTGTAACATAGTTTGGTTAAAATTTCTCAATGGTAGTGTAAAAAACAATTTTTTTAACCGGTCAAAAACAGCTCTTTTCAAATCAAGCCGTTTTTGTAGCATTTTCCTTTAAATGTTAATAAGCTCTGCTGACTCCGCCCCTAGCTGCTCTCAGAGAGACTGTTTACTTCAGCCGCATTTATCGTGAAACTTGCTAATTAGCAAATTATTAGGAAAGGCGATTTGCAAAGATTCATTACAAAACATTGTACTCACTTCTTCTGCAGGTGAGGCTGGAACATGAATGATTTGCGCGAACATAGACGCATTTATGTAGATCGGGGGAGCATTCCCTTCAGAAACAATGTAATCCACTGCGAGTTCAGCGGCTCAAATGTCGGGAGTAAATGACGACTGCTATGTTCATTATTACATCCAACAACAGAAGACCTCAATCACTTAGGAGTCATTCTTGTCTACATCTGCTCCGGCGGCAAAACAATGGCGGACTGATGACAGCTCACTCAGGGCGGGTCTAAGATAAGACACCAGTAAAGTCTGTGCTGAAACGCTACTGTCAATCAAACTATCATGGGAGGGGCCTGTCTGTGTGACGTCACACAGACAGGCATCTGAGAAAGGGAAAAATATTTAACCAGATTTTTAAAAAAAAAACACCGGGTGGATTTTTATCATCATAGGGTGGTTATGTACACACACACTACCAACACACATTTCAGTTCAAACAACTTGTAAAAGCGCATGTAGCATCCTATGACCCCCTTTAAATTTAGCGTTTTATTACATCTAAAGTGAAATGTATTTAAATGAACTGCACATCTCAGTTTACCAGTCACTCCTGGAATTTTGTGATATGTGTTTGAAGAAGCATTCAAGTTTAATATTGCCTTTTTATCTGTATTGTGCAGTGGAGATCTTTATCGTGATCTTTATTTTTATGCCCCTGGAACATATTATAAAAACCAATGAAAAATGATCAGAAAGTGTCCCACTTCACCTGAATTCCCCCTGTATCATGCACCAGGAAAGTGTGTGTTGTTTCAGACACCTCTGCCACAGGAAAGATAGATGAGCTCTTTATAGATGCTGTAGCAAGGCTAAAAACAGATGCAGCTTTTGCTAAAGTAGAAGTAGGGCAGAGAAGACACAAACTCACGTTTAAAGTAGACAGCATTGCTCAGAATAATACAGTAGCAGCAATAAATAGGTGTGATGTTTATGGCCATTATCTAGTAAACTTGCAGGGTATGATGGCAATGCACTGAAGAATGCAAACTTGCATGCAATGCAATGCACAAAAAGTATTTAAGCAAAACTGTACGAAACTCACATGCAATGCAATACAATGCACAAAAAAGTATTTAAGCAAAGCTGTACGATCTTTGAACTTTGAAGAATGCATTTCTATTTGTTAGCATTTCCATTCATCTTAATAGCAAATGCAGCCTTGTAAGTAAGCAACGTGCATCCTGCCATCTTTGCTCATGGAAAAACATACCTGTATGAGCCAATCATTTGAGCTGTTAATGCAACTGCACCACATGCAGTTCAACCGTCCTCCCACCTGCACTAAAAAGTAGACACAGACACAGTGTAGTTGCTGAATAACAAAACTGTGACATTCAAGTGTAATAATAGACAAGAGAGATCATTTCCAATAACTGAGTTAGGAAACTAGATGCGACTGTTCAAAATCTGCTTCAGTGACACCAAGTATTCAGATTATATGTGATAAATTAGATTAATTATTAGCCATTTTAAACAGAACTGATAAAATGGATCAAATAAGTGACTCAAAATCCAACCTGTACCAGGAACAGGAAGTGACATCAGAGGAACAGGTTTGTGTTGGTCTATCTAAAGAGATGGCAGGTTAAAAACAAGCTGTGCATATTAAGTGCTGTGTAGAAAATAAATAGCATTCATGCACATGGGTGAGTTCATTCAGGACAGAGAAATAAAGAACGGACGCATAATTTGTATGAGTTTCTTTTATTGAAATATTAGTAGCAACGAAAATTGGTTTTACAAAGTTGTTTTGATTATATTTATAGCATTGCTGTTAGTGAATGCTGCGTATTAGTTCAAATGTTAGATGTACCGTTCAGATACAATTGCTTTTTGCACTGTAATTTGTTCACTCAAGCTCTTCATTTCATTGTGAACGAAACGGCTGCTGCAAAGGTTTAGGTTAAATAGTCATGCAATCATGCTTGATTTTTTTTTCTGGAACCATTTCTGTTTCTCTTCTGTCTATCCATAAAGCATTGGGTCATGGTGGTGCATCAGAATTATATTAATTGGCTTTAGACTGAATGATATGCACTGATGATGCACATGCAGGCAGATTATTCAATGCAAAGACTGGCTTGAAATGTTAGAGAATGCTGTCATCAGAGCTCTGCGTTCGCTCGTCTGGTTTCCCACGGTTGAATAAAGGGCAGCAGAGAGCCGAGCGGCAGCAAGGAAGGAGCAAACGCTTCGCCAGCCCCTGCAACACCTTGTTGAAAGTCTCTCTGAGTGCGGAAGAAGAGAAGTAGAATATGAAAGGGTCGAGGCATGCATTCAACGTGCTGGTGAGTAAAGCAGGTTGTCTCCATTTAGAGCTTTGGTTGGTTACGAATCCCTCCACGTGGGAGATGTTGAAGGGCATGAAACAGATAACGAAGACCAGAAGTGTGCCCAACGCCATCCTGATGGCTCTATACCGCTTCTTGGCGTTGACGTTGGATAGTCGGGAAAGTATGCAGATGCATTGGATGTAGCAGAAGCAGCAGATGAGGAAAGGGATGTAGAAGAAGACAACAGAAAGCTCCAGTCGAAACGGCAGGAGGATCTTGAGTTGTTCGTCAGTGAATTCTTCATAACAGGTGTTACGTTTGGATGGATCAGTGATGTTGGGGTTGAAATAGTTGTGGTATTGCATGACGTAGACGATACTGCAGTGCGCCATTGAAACCACCGAGAATAGGATGCAGGCTATCAAGGCACTTCTGGGGTTGCGTTTGAGCTTGTATTTAATGGGGTAAGCCACACCCAGGTAGCGCTCCACGCTGATGGCCGTCAGGTGAAGGACGCTGTTGGCGATGACCGAGTAGAAGATGAATCCCGACAGCGGGCAGAGGAAGTAAGGCAGCGTCCATTTCATGTTGGCCGCCTCCACCATGCGAAACGGCAGGAAAA